ATTATACTTATCTACAAGAAGCATTTTTAAAGCATCTAGACAAAATAAGATTACTTAAAATAGCACCAAATTATTCAAACTTCATAATTTCTACTTCAAGTATTAAGAATTTCTTACATAAAAGCGTATAAAAGACAATCACATTCTAATTATCTATTGACATTCATGTACTGTGTGTGCATTGAGAATAATATCATACATAAAACTCCAAATATGTACTACTCTATCACATTCCTTACCTAACATGTAAGTATTTGAGGTTAACAAGAACAGCCAGTCAGTAGCTAGAATATCTAGCTAAATTAAAAATTAGGCAGAAATGTATGTTTAAAATGAAGGTAAACATTAAAGTTTTGTATATTAACATATGACTGCATTGCTATAATTGTAATATTAACACTATTCTCTCAATACAAGACTAAGGATTATTGATTATGTGGCTGATTTTAAGACACAATGACTGTCTCATCACCACTCTATGAAATAAGAGACATGCATTCATTGCACAGATTCATTTCTATAACATTTTTATTATCTGTGAAAATATCTGTAATACTGAGCACCAATCTAGAAAAGTTATACAAGTTCTTTAAAAACTTGATGAAGCTTAATTTTATTGTAAATGCAAAACAACAGTTTCACAGTAAACTATGTTTCTCTGTATAGATTGTGAACCCTAAAGGGTGCATCAAGCTTGACTGCAAAGCCAAATTCATTGAGTGCTTACAATAACCATCTTTCTAGTATTTGAAAATAGTTTAAATATTATAGTTGCTATTAAATTCACAAAAAGTTATTCCAACATCAAAAGACCCATATGTTCTGTTTATATACTGTCAAATAAAATATAAGTGAATCATCGTGAATTTTAATTGTAAAAACAAATTTGTGTTTGAATAATGTCAAATAATGTCACCAAATAATCATTACAAGGTTTTCTTAATCAGACAGTCTTGTTTCTACAATCATCTATTTAACTATACTTGTGACTGAATAACATTTAATTAATTGCTCCCCAAATGAAACAAAATGCTGATCCTGAAATCTGACAATGTTACTTTTATGTAGGCAAGTAGGTTAAAAGGAGATATCGCTAAAATGTGTTGGTCTATTTGCATATTTAGTAAGACTAATTTGTCATTTAGTATATGACTGCTCATATACTTGGAAGAATGCAGTAAGGAAGATCCAATACACAAAGAGTGAAGATTTTAGACATATGCTATCTGAATCTGCCCATCTCTGGCATTGAACTTTCTGAGTTTTCCTGTAAAGCAATGAAACAAAAAATGTTTTCAAAATATAAAAGAAGATATTTTCCATGATTGGGGATCTTTGAATCATCATTTTCTTAATAATCATCAAAATAATGTCTTTATTATTAAGTTTCAAGTAAAAGAACGTGAAGAGAAATGTTGTAAAGCCCTTTTCAAAGGCATCATTGCAATGATATAAAGCTCACCTTACCTAATAGAATAATAAATGATCAGGAGTTTTGTTGTACTATTCTCTAGTAGTTGAAGCGCACATAACTTCACAACTTCTTTTCTGAGAAGACAACTTTGAATGCTTCAATAACTGACTAAAACAAATGACAATAACAGAATTCTTATCATGACTCTTAGTACTATCAAAAATGATTATATACATGTATATATGCACATATAGATATTGATCACTCGTGTTTCTTCAGTGTGAATTGCACTGAACCATATCAAAAAGCTACTTGAAGGCAATATATTAGGGTTTCTGAAAATAAGAAATTTGAAATGATTGATTTTATGAGATAACATAGAGAAGAGTACAAATTAAAACATTCTAGTCAGGACATGTACTCGTCACCACATATTCGACAAAGAAGTATGCTTATTATTCAGGAAAAAAAATTGCCAAAAGCACCATTACAATAATAGGCCTGCAACAGTATCTTACGAAATTCTATCCATCAGAATGAGTTTCCACTCAACTGAATGTGTACTTTTTCCCTTGTACTCTCCTCCCCCTCACCTTTAGAAAGAAGTAAGTCATGAATCCTGACGAACAATCTTCTTTAGCCAAGTCTACATTGGGAACATCGCTCATCTTCTTGGGTGTGTTTAAATGATCTTCCCCTCCTTATGACATAATTCTGCTCTTTTGCTGCATTTCTCTTCTCTTACTGACCTTGTGTCTCACCTACTTTATGCTATCATTTTGAGCCTAGTGCCTACTTATAACCCTCACTTCTCTTTTTACTGAATTAAAGTCACAGAAATATTGCAGACCTAAACACTATCTTCAGATTTCATTTAAAATAATAGATCCCGTTACCTACAGTAATGAAGCCTTTTTCATAAGCATCAAATTTTATAATTTTATTAACACCTTCATGAGGGTATTTGCATCAGCAAAATTTGCTAATATCACTTCATTATTAATTAGATTCTTCCCAGTAATTATATTTTTCTCTATAAAAAACTACAATGTATGTGTTATACATAGTAGTTTTCCTCCCCTTCCATGCTGTATTCAGAAAATAGGTTTCATAATTTTTACAATTATATATTTCAATACTTGTAAGAAAATTATTCAAAACATATCATAAAATATAATAAAATGCACAATGCATTGTGTCACATATACATTTCTTCATATTTAATATTTTTCTATTATCATTTTATATAAAATAAAGTAAAATTATTTGCTATGAAAATTATAAGGAATAAATAAAGCTTAATTAGATTAAGACAGTAACCTAAAACATATTATAGCAGAGTGCCAAAATAGTATAGAATGACCTGTCTCAGGATCCTAAGTAATTCATCATTTTCACTTTGATATCTCTCATTAAAATTTAAGAAAAGTTCTTATTCATAGAAACAATCAAAAATCACACTAAAATGATAACCTGTTTACTTTTAGAGTAAAACTCATAACTATTTCTCAAGAATGAGAGAATCATTTATTCACAAAGGAAACAAATCTCTGTATAAAATGTTTCACTTTGGGAATGACCATTTGGGGGAGGGTGATGGGGGAGAAAAAAAGGGAAGGAGGAAATAGAGAGGTGAAGGGGAAAGAGAACAGATGAACATGGCTTTTTCTATCTGCAATTATTTTTCATCTAAGTGTATCTGAATATCAGTAAATGAATCATATGGCCTTCATCAAAAGTTCTAGTAACTCACTGAGTTTCTGTATTAGTAATATTCTTTGTAGTCAAAA